GCCCCCCGCGCGCGGCGAAAGGGCACGCGGCGGCGGCGACGGCGCGTCCTCTGGTGAAGGGAAGGGGAGGAGGAGGAGGAGGAGGAGGAGGAGGAGGAGGAGGAGGAGGAGGACGACGAGGAGGAGGAGGAGGAAGGAAAAGGAGGAGGAGGAGCAGGAGGAGGTGAAGAAGGAGGAGGAGAAGAAAGAGGAGGAGAAGAAAGAGGAGGAAGAGGAGGAGGAGGAGGAGGAGGAGGGAGCAGGAGGAGAAGGAGGAGGAGGAGGGGGAGGTGGTCAGGAGGGGAAAGGGGGGAGGGGGAGGAGGAGGAGGAGGAGGATGAGCATGAGCATGAGCATGAGCATGACCATATGACTAAGTCAATGAATCCTCCGCATCGCTATACATTACGCTTGCGCCTGGTGGCTTTCTCAGCTTTGCTCAAGACCTTTGGCCACGAGCCCTGAGAGATCAACCGTAGATACTCGGCCCTGTGCGGGGTGGGAGGAGTCACGCACGCACGTCCCAGGGCCAGGAGCTGCTGTGATCCGTAGCTGTCACAGCCGACGCAATACCACAACTTCAAATCACCATGAAACTGCATTCGGTGACTAGAGTGGACATAGCCACCCGCGATGTGCAACAAAGCACCCTGAGGTTTCCGAAAGATTACACCGTTATAATTGGTCGGGGAGAAACACGGGGACCTGAGCCATTCCGTTCGGGTCGCCCTCGACGCCGATCCTCCGCACCTGGTGCACCTGCACCCAGTGCTGTCCACAGAATGGGACGAGGCAAGAAGGGCGAGAGAGGCAGCAGCAGGAGGCGGGGGAAGGGGCGGGGCGGCAGGTCCTTTTTCCTCCTCAGCACACCTCACCTTATCTTCAGCAGCCATGGAGTCGAGAGTGGCTCGGAGGATGCGCATCCTGACAAGCCGAGCCTTCCTCTCCTGCAGCAAAACCCTATTACGGACCGCCTCTGCCAGGCGGACTTCTCGAGCCGCTTGTCCAGCGATCTCGTCCACGATCAGATTGCCTGCCACCATCCACCGCGGAGCCTTCCCTTCGACGATGCCTGTGGCAGACAGGTGTGAGTTGACAAAAAGAACGGTGATGGCGTCCTGGGACCTCTTTCTCAGCAGGAGGCCCAGGCGCGCCCAGAGGTCGGCGTCCTCACCTGAGGGCGCCTCAAACTTGCGGCAGTAAAATCCTGAAACTACTGGTTCGCAATCTGAAATGAAAACGATGGAGCCTGTGGTCATCCAGACTGCCAAGAGCAAAGCACGCAACTCGCCACGAGCAACAATCTGCCTGGGCCCCGTTAGCGGGCCTCTGACAGTCGAGGCTAACTGCAGCTGGGGCTCTAGAGCATGCATGAACACCACAGCGACACCTACACGTCTGAAGAGCGGGCTGGCCGTGTCAGGCCCCCCGCTCGCGTCTCCAAAGGCAAACAGCGGCGCCTGCTCAGATCCTCCCGCGGCGCATCCCTCCACGGTTGCCTCCCCGAACAGCTCCTCCGTGCCGACCCAGGCCTCAACATCACAAGGCGGCGGCACCTCCGTCCAGGGCGATGGCATGAGGCCACGGAGCCAGAAGCCCTGATCGGCCTCGCCTTGCGCGAGAGCCTGAGGAACCAGGTCGCCCGACTCGGTGCACGCATCCTTCTCGACGTTGCTTTCACATAACCATACCCGATGCATCATATATTCTGGCGCTTTCCGACATCGAGGGCACTCAACGACACCTGCGTACTTGCTCAGCTCGTCCTTCTTGCGCTGCCGCGGCCAACCGCTTCCCACTGCGCAGGCCAGCATGACCTCCGACAAGCGGTGGCCGTACACTGGGACCGCGGCCAGCTGCTGCAGCAAGATCTGGTACGATACGCAGTCGACGCCCTGACTCAGTCCTGCCCCGCAGAAGTGCTGGCTCGCCTTCTGCCACAAGCCGTGATTCAAGGGCTGCTTGAAATCCGCGATGAAGCCCTGGTGAGAGTCCAGCGCTGCAATGCCCGAGTACATCTCGTCGTCGAACTTCCATGTGTCCCCAGCGGCTGGATGACTATCAGGAAGATCCCACGACGTAGCCTGCTGTGGGTCTCAGCCTGCCTCCATCAAGTGCAGGACGGTGCCGTGAGGGGGGCCTCCCACATGGCGCACTCGCTGCGCAGCTGGGAGCTCCTGCATGTGCTTGTAGACGCTGCCCCACGCCTGTCGTACACCTGCCCGCAAGTCGGGCTGCCCCCTCCAGGTCCGCAGCCACAAATCCAACGTCTCGACTGGCATCTTGATCGCTGGGTCAAGATCCCCAGCGCGCAGAGCCAGCAGCGCGGTCAGGCAGCGGCCGCGCGTGGGCGCCGCCAGCGCCTGACCCAGGCGCCGTCGAGCCAGCGTCATCCTGGCGCCGAAGGTGCCATAGGCTTGGTGCCCGTACACCCCTGCCGCCTGCGCCCCCTGTTTCTCGAGCCTCCCCGTGACCCAATACTTCTTCGACACGAACGCATACCGACGCACCTTGCCACTCATGGCCTTGTGCTTGGCGCCCCTCTTGACCCTCGTCTCGCGAGCCATCCGTTTGCCCCCGCCCATGTCGACCCCCAAGTAGGTGGCCTGCTTGACGGGCCGCACAGGGTAGCCTGCACGGGCCACCCGTCTGGCCACCCACTGCGCGTCCTGAAACGACGAGCAGATGATGACTGATTTGGACGCGACCTTCAGCTGCTTGGCTCTCAGCCCCCCGCACGTGTCGATGACAAATGCCGCCAATTCTCTTCGCGCAGCTGCGCGCGAGCCTCGAGCCGACTGCGACAGGTCGTCGATCCAGATGCGATGTCCCATTCTCGGGTGGGCGACTGTGATGACCTCCAGCACGTAGTGGGTCATGGCCTTGGCGAAGCGTGTTCCAGCCCTGAGGCCCTGGACCACGCTCCGCGATGGCTGAAAGGCCCGCGTCGCTGCGCCAAGCTGGCCCAGCGCGCGTGCTGCGACGCACTGCAGCAGTTCCAGGTACAGCACCTGCGGCGGGAACTCGAGTGCCAGCGCACAGGAGGCCAGCGGTGCCCACTCGATGGAGTCGTAGAACGACTGGATGTCCACGAGGGCCTCGCCCGTGGCAACTCCAAGGTGATGAGACACCTCCTGTTGCAGCACCCGCACGAAAGCCTCGCGAAGGCTCGAATTCCCCCTGACAGCTGCGTCCCAGTGGGCTTCTGCCGAGGCTGACCAGCTGCGCACATATGGCTCCCGAATAAGGCCCCACAGCCTGCCCATCATCGACACCAAACCCACGATGCGGTCTCCATTTGATTTCTTAGGCAGGAGACGCCCTAGAATCAAGAGGATCTGACCTGGCCATACAAGATGGCACTCGCAAGCTTGATACAGCAACACCAGCTCGGCGAGCGCCTCGTCAGGGAGGCGCTCGAAGTCGAGCGGACTAAGCATGTCCACCCCCATGCCAGCTCGTCCCTTCATCTTGCGAAGAGCACCTCTCACTTCCGAAATTGAAATATCTGGCAAGGACTCCGTGGCAGCAGCAGCTTAAATCTTGGCGAAGGTCCGAGAGATTTCGTCTTCGTCCAAGGCAGCAGGTGCCCACAAGTCGTGCCAGAACTTAGCTTTGTGGTCAATCATATCACGAGGGTGAAAAAGGACTCTATCTTCCTGAACCATGTCCAGGCTTGGCAGAGCCTGAGGATTGAGGGCCTTGTGTAAAGTTCCAACGGCACCGTCCTCACCCATGAAATCTTTGAACTCATTGACACTATCCTGAACTGCTCTACGTTGGGCTCTCCCCATGATCCTCTTGGAGCTGTCCTCAAAGCTCGCGAGCACCGGTGCGACCACCTCGCCCGCGCTGCTCAGAACCCTCCCCCACTCCGACCAAGGGGGGTCACGTCCATCAAGTAGCACACGCTGCACATGCTCAGGCCGATCAGCCAGATGACGTACACAGCCTTGCACGTAGCGCTCGACTTGTAGAGCACCGTTGTCCTTCGTCTTGTGCAACACGAGACCTGCGAGCAGCACGTTGACCTGCGTCCACCAGCCGCTGATCTGGTCTCGCAGAGGTGTCGCACGCACCTTCTGTGGGAGCTTCACTGTGGTCACTGTGAACCTGGGCCCCGTGGCCCTCGATGGGCCTCGCGGCAGGCCCACGCCATGATGAGAAGTGATTGTGGATTCGACAGCTGACACCCAGGAGGCGTAGAGGCCTGAAGTAGTCTCAAGCTCAGCGGGCCTGAGCCGAACAGCTACGGATTGACGCAGAGCAGGAGCGAGGGACTGTAGAGTGGCTGCCCCAGAAATGAACCCTACGTCACGCCTACATCTAGTCCACAAATCGGTCGGGATAGCGAATGACGGGGCCCCTCCAGAGCTGCCCCCTTCCAGCCCAGGCCCCTGGGGGCCTCCAGCCCCAGAAAGTTCCAGGGTCTGCGACTGAGGATGGCCAAGAGCAGAAGCCGCAGCGCTCAAAGGCTCCACCCCAGACTGCTCGGCCACATCAGGCACGTCCCTGGAGACCTCGTGATACCTGTTAGGGGGCCCAGGCTGGGGATCACTTAGCATATTAGCTTGCTCACTATCTACTACAGACGCTACAGTGAGAGCGGGGAGGAGGGAGGAGTCGGGACAGAAAGACAATTCCTCGGCCCACGGATCTTCCTCCTCAGGCCACTCATCAAAATCGAAGGGATCAGCGCACTGCTCCCCTATCCCCGAGGCCGACAGGTCATTTTCCCCAGCACCGCCAGCCTCTGGGATCGCAGTGGATTGCTCGTTCTGACAGCAATCCTCAAACAAGGAAGAAAACTTAGCCGCTCGCTTCTCGACAGCGAGCTGATGCTGTACCCTACGCGTAGCTTTCGCCATGCAAGACTTAGACCCAGCGGTGGCTTCCTTACACGGCCGAGGGACCTGCGGGAGGCGCCCTGGAGTCTCCCGAATTCTTGTCAGGAGCTGGTCCCCTGACCTACGCATGACAATCTCGAGCCCAATGTGTCGCTTTCCAGGGAACCGATATGA